ATTGATCAATTAATTAAAACAATTTCAAAAACTTAAACAATAGGAGTAAGGAACATGTGATCATGTACAATACTTGACAACTGATAATCCAAATCATTGACTAATTGAAGACTCAAACCTTAATTATCATTGACTAATGGAAGACAAACCTTCTTATCAACCCAAATTGTGAAAGGGCAACACAACCCAGAGCTACAGAAAGCTTCAAATTATTAAACAAAATACGAATTAAGATAATACATAGAATACTAAAAAATTTTATATTGAAAACCGTTAAATAGAAAATCAAAGCTTTTCTTGTGCTTAATTTGGGAGGAAATGTTTTGAACCACATTCCTAAATAATTATATATATATATGATATTAGTGTTTATCAGCCAAAACTCTAAAAAATTAAGAAGAAAAACACCCAAAACTACATCTACAAAAAAACACCATAGGAAAAGACCAAAAATAGGTTATCTTAGTCTTTTGCAATAAAAGTTTATTGATATGCCGTAGTTTTGAAGGATTTTTCCTCCTAATATTTAGAGGTCTGATATATTTATGAGTTAGGCTCAACTTACAAACAACTCTTACATGCATTGCTTACGCAAAATTTTGACTAGTCATCTCTCCACTATGAATGGTTAAGATTATCACAACTTTTTAGATTAAAAAGATAATGATATTTGAAAAATATGCTAAAAAGTGGATACGTCTTAACCATTCATAGTGGAAAGATAAATAATCAAGATTTTGTGTAAGTGATGTGTGTAAGTTGTTCCTTACTCCTATATATAGGGAAAAGTGTTAAAAAATCAAACCTCTAAAAAATTAGAAGGAAAACACATCAAAACTATATATAGAAATATAAATATATATATATATATGTATATATATGTATATATATAAAATAAAAACTATAGATATAATTTATTTTTATTTTCATCATAATGCTTATCTTTTCAAAACCTTTTATTTATGTCCAAAATGTTTTCTTCATATTTCAACTTAAAAAGCCAAATTTGCAATAAATAAAATTTGAATGACCATATTTAATATTTTCAAAAGTTCAAGGGGTTGCCATTCGTCTTGTTTTATACTAGTTTCGTCTTTGTCCCCACCTACCCCAACCTAAGACTTCCAACATGTAGACTCAAGCTCTTAACCACTGGACGGTAGTCAAAAACTCGTATTTCATGACTCTACCCCCTTAAATTATTGATTTGATATAATCTATACATGCATTCTCTTCTAGAATTAAAAGTTTTCCCCTCTTGTATCAAATTAGTAAAGTAGATAGACTATCTACAAACGCAATAGAGTCTAGTTGAAGAAAATGAAAGTTTCTTTTTCGTATCCACTCTATATCATATTGTCAGAACAAACCATCAAAAAATATTGTGGTGCTGTGAAATCAAACAAAGAAAAGATATTGAAAAAGGTTGTAACTTGAAATAAATGCTTCCCTTTAAAGAAATGGAATATTAATTGACTCCGATGGAACATTAAGAAGCAAGAAGATTTAACCGGAAGTATCCACAAATTCTTGCATTGTCAAAATAAATAATGAAATAAAAAGGATCTACTGTTTCAATTTCATCTTGATTGAATTTTAATATCATATCCCTGGACTCAACTTAATGAAGAGATGTTTTAAG